ATCTAAACACTCAAGGCCAAAGAGACCATATGCAATTTGTACCACTGTTATGTGGTTAGACCAGGCTCCTTGTTGTCTGTTTGGCTTGGTCTCATTACAGAGAACAGCAGAGAAGAACTGACTATTCTGCTCTTCCCATCAGCATTCATAACAGAGTGCGTGACCGAAAGAGAGAAGCAAGGAGCCCAAGGTTGTGAGGCTGTACAGTGCAGGTCTCACAGATGAAAGAACTCAAGCTCGGTTTACGACACCCCATTGTCTCTTTGTCGATGGCTATTGCATGCCCCCATCTACACAGCAAAAGGAATGATGGATTCGGAGGGAGTTAACATTCAGATTAGTGACTTCATCTAACTCTCAAGTGGGCAGTGTTTCACAGAAACCCAGAACCCCCAACACAACAGGCTACTCGATAAATGTTAAGGGTTTAATCTGACCAACTCACAAAACAAACAGACCCAGAGGAGGCAGGCCCGCCGTCAAAAAGCAGAATCAAACAGAAAACCAAATTCTATTCACTATAAGTTAACAAAAACCAACAAGAGAAAATTAACCCAACTTGAAGGGAACAGTGGTCAAGGTTCAGCCAAGGCGAATAAACCATTTATTAACAAAGTGAGAGAGTTCCTCTGTATTTTCACTGTAAGAGGTAATTTGTTAATGGGTAAATAATACTTTCTTCTGCCTTGGAGATAAACAAGCTCTAGTTCTCAAAAAACAATATATCTGGCAAGATGTGGAAGACAGAAAAAGAAGTGTTTTGTCCACAATAATTTGAAAAGTAAAGGAATGCTTCTTTCTGTTAGCTGGGTGGAGAGCTTGGCCTTACTCCTGAGCAGCTGAAGAAGGAAACATTTAGCAGGAACAGACTGAATAAGTGGTCAGATGTCTCCAGGCTGAGTGATCTGTACAAATGACATTTCTCTTACACGGGCCCCTTATTATTTTGTGTATCTACACCTTCCCTTATATGGTCACAAATTATATCTGCGCTACCAGTAATAAAACAGTTTTTGAAATGTTCGAGAAGACAGGCTGAGAGCCACTGGCAGCTGTGAAGACAAACTGAAGGGACAGGACCCTGGGCAGCAAGACACCCAAGGGGGGTGGTTTCTCCCTCTGTCGTGGTCACTGGGAAGTACCTTCGGGATAGAGCAGCATGCACGAGGGGGGCTGGGGAAAGAAGCTGAAATCAGCCCAGCTCTAGAACTGCTGTTATCACAGAGTCAAGGGTGAGAAGAGAAAAGTCGAGTGTCTGATGGACCGGCCCTGCACTGACCAGAATTCAAATTCAGCCATGCGTTGAAATTCCGTCCTTGATCCCTCTGTAACAGTGCCTTCGGCCATTTGTTCGGGGATGAAGAGGTGCTGCCTGCATTTTGAAATGTGTGCAGATGCTTAAACAGACCCCAGTCTCCAGTCAGACAAAAATGCCACCAGCTGGGACTTAAATGCTGGCCCTCTTTTTTTTAGCTGTTAGAATGTGATAAACTCCTTCCACATCTAGTCCACTGCAGGGGACTATTTTTATTGGGCTCTTTCAACTCCAGCTCTGAGACACATCACAGATATTCCCACAAAAGTCCCACAAGTCCACGGTGAGATTAAACCCCGTGCCAGACAGACTTGCACAGCCAGGCAGGCAGAGAGGGTGGCAAGTCCTGCCACATTGCTGTCCCGGCGATCACTCTGAGCTGCAGGTAAGCTAAGTGGGGGCGGCATGGACGACAGGGCAGAATTAAAATGTGATCAACATGGCATCTGGTTTCTCTTCTCTATTCAGCTTTCGCAGAAACGAACATGAAAAAAAGGGAAGAAGCGAAGAGCAAAAATAAAGAGAGACGGGGCCCCTTCTGGGAAAAACCAGTTCTAGTCCTGAATTCTCAACTGTGCCTTCCACCTTAGAAAGCCTGCGGCGGCTTTAACTGAGCCCCCAGTGACAGACTCCCTGAGCCTGACACAAGCTGGTGCCAGGCGGAGGGTGGGGGGTAGGCGGTCTCTACCTCAATCTTCCTGCTGTTTCCCTCCCCCATTCTAATCACAATAAATATATTTATACTCACTTGATTATGTCAGCCAGACAATGCTCCCCTAATTGGCAGTGATCAGGGCTCCAGAATTGCTTGGGTAAACCTGCTGTCTCTCTATCAGGCAAAGCAATAAGGGGCCGCTAATGCCGTCCCCATTAACAATTTCCAGTGGAATAAAAACCAGTCCCCTGACTCCTGCATGGCAATGAATTTTCCTAACAGCTCCTAAAGCCAACCCTTGAGAAACTCAGACTTACGTGAACCTGCCCAGCATAGAAAGCTTTGATAAATCTCCCCCACCCCTGGTTCGAGTGCACAGAAAAAAAAAAAAACGGAGCCACTTCCTTCTGCCTGAGGTTCTTTTGTTCTTTTGCATTTTTTTCTTTTTTCTTTTAGAGGGCTTATGGAGCTAACTGTCATTTTTGGTTCTTGGGTCTTTGTAAATTACAAGGACATCTGGCATGCAGTTTACTGCATTTGCTAGCTCCGGTATGTGTGGTTATGTACGCAGTTCCTGCTGCGCGTGCATGTTAACACCCTACATGCATAATTGATGCATGCATAATTTGGAGCTTGAGTGCATTGGTATATTTTGACATTTAAGACTGACTATTGAGGTGCCGATTATAAGTAATTGCTCAATAAATATTTATTAAATGACTGAATGCACCAAGAAGGCAAATGTTATTCATTCATTCATTTAGCGGATGTTTAAATGCAAGTATGTGCCATGCACTGGGCTAGATACGGGGTGTCCACTGATGCAGCCCCACAGTTCCTGCCCCCCAGGAGCTCACTGCTGAAGGGCAGGAGGGAAGCAGGCCCATCAACAATTATAAAATATCATGGAGAGACAGTGATAGAACTCTGTGTGTGTAGTGTGGAAGCTCCATGGAGGGAGACCTTTGTCTGCCTGGAGTGGGGGGGTGGGGCTGAGGCCAGGGTGTGCTCTAAGCTGGGGCCTTAAAGTGCTCCAGACAAAGAGGACAGCACAGTCAGTGGCAGGCCACGAGAAATCACAGGGTGTGATCAGAGAACGAGAGGCCAGAAGGTACTGCAGGGCAGCACAGAGGCAGGGAGCAGGCAGGAATGAAGTGCAGGCTCAGGGAGGGACTTCTTGGGGTGGGGGGTCTGGGGAGAGTAAAGGACAAGAATCTCAACTACCTCAGTTAGGGGGCCAAAAATCTCTTCTGGATCCTGCCAGATTTCTGCACACACACATACACACACACAGACACACACAGCCCTCAAAGCAGAATTTGGACCCACTTCGGACATGTTGTTGGAGTGCAGTAAGGAGATGTAGACACGCCCTAGCTCTGTCATTGGTGAGCTGTGTGAACTGAGCATGGGCTGCCTTCTGAACTGGCCAGTGGAGGAGCTGGACTTTGCAGGCTCTGAGGTCTGCACGTAGACCACACCTGGGCCCATTCCATGTACAAACTGCAGGGCTCTGTGTAGCACACAATAACATCACAGTCTCACTGTCTTAGAGTGTGGGGACAGCTAGGCACACTGAACACAGTTTTATAGGAATTCCTAGGAAGGGTTCACAGAATTGTAATGTATGGCAGAGATATCCTACTGCCCCAGCCTGGGTTAGCGTCTCATTATCTCAATTCTGAAACCGCCAACCCCAATTAATTCATAGCATAGATCCCTGCTTGACTTAGTTCCTGTAAAGCATCACTTCACTCATATCCTTTCTGCTAAAAAAACTCTCAATGGTTCCATTTGACTTATAGAATCAAGTCCAGAGTCCTTAGAGTGGTATTCAAGGCCATACCCTAGCTGTTCCCTCTTTACCTGCCACAACCTCTGCCTCAGCCACATGGGACCCCTGGCAATGGTATCCATGAATGTTCCCACCACTGTGCCTTTTCTCACTCCAGACCCCCACTGAAGGTCTAACTCAAGTTCAAGTCCATCTCCTTAGTTCTCTGGTCACCTTGTTTTCCTCTGAACCCTGTGTGACACCAACTGACTCTGTCATTCATTTGTGACTATTAATTGCACGTTGTGGATTGTGTCTTATCTCTCCAGCTAATGTGGATGCCCCAGAGGATAGGAACCACATCTCACCCGCCTTGGTAGTCTATGCACCTAGCACAGTGTCCTGCTCATGGAAAACATTTGCTGCTAATACATTTTCCACCTTGTGGCCTCTATGAGACTATTGAGTAAAATCCATGGGAAGTATGATTATTATTATAATCATAGTGCTGTAGCCTGAGGGTTTTTTTTTTCTCTCTTGAAAAAAAAAAAAAGAAAGAAACTTGGAGAGAGTGGTTTGGTGCAACCATTTTGGCGTAATGAGATTGTGAAACATTTCTCCCATGATTCATAAACAGTATTTCATATGCGTTACTTTGGAGCTTAAAGTTCATCCAGGAATGAGCTATTTCACAAATCAAAAGGAGCATATGTGCAACCCACCAGGAGGAATAATCACTCTGCTAAATTTAAAGGGGAAAATGATGGAACACTACAGACTGAAATTAGAAACGGTTACACATCACCTGACTGGAGAGGAACATGAGTGAAGGAATTCTGGTCCCGATGTTCAGTTTTTATTGTCCGTGTTCCATTGAGCAGCACATGGGATTTTGCACAAAAGAGGAACTGGCATTAAATCAATAAGGAAAATCAGCACTTCCTTACTGATCCAACAGCATTGAAGGAAGCTGAGCTTTGCCAACATGTACAACTGCGCAGAATTTGTAACCGGGCAGTTAAAACCGCCACGTAAGCTGGCAGCTGTGCTTTTCCCAGAAGCAGAGCTTCAGGAAGACAGATAGCTTTTAAACTCCAGTTCCATTTTTGCAAATTAGATCTGTTCATGTAAAACTGTTTCAAGCCCAAGTTTTTTTCCTCTTTTCTTTTCTTGCCACATTAGTAAAGGATAGAATTGTTTCTTTTTACCCACATGGAAATTCATTCGTTTTTCTCAACAAATTATTTCCTGAATACCTGTGATGAGTCAAACACCATTTGAGGCGCTGGGGAGGAGGAGGTGAAGAAAAGCAGCACAGTCCTCGGCCTCACGGAGCTGCTTTCAGCTGAGGAGACAGATAAAAAGTAAGCAGACAAGTAGATCTATACTATGGCAGGCACAGGTAACTGAGATCATGCGAATACTGTATTTGGAAAATTAATTTCCAGATAATTAGAAGTTAAGAGCCCTACATAAACATTGTCTTAGCTCATATGTTACCTATATTAAAGGGTATTCTAAAAAGAATAACCCATATACTGCTCCTTGCATGTGATGTTGATGTTCCCCACCAACTTACAATGCGACGTGTGTCTTTGAGGGACATTTCTAGGAGAAAGATTTATGCCAACTTGTGTCCACTCCTCTGTGGCCCCCACTGTGGTCTGCACAGGAACCTGAAATTCCTTCTGGACCGCTCCCTCTCTTTCTTCCTCTTTATCCAATTCCAGCAGCCTTCTCTTCTGGGTGTTTAAACCCTATATTTTAAATATACTTTAAATCAACTCCCTTCTTTCCATTACCCTTTCCTTAGCGCAGGCTTTATAATTTCTCTCCATGACTGCTGCAACCTGCTTCTTCCCGATTCTGGGCTCAAACGCTCCAGCATCCCCTCTTCATTGCTTCCAGAGTGATTTGTAAAACCTGCCCTGCCCTGGCTCTCTGTGCCTGCAGGTGGAGCTCAGGCTTCCTGATCTGGTCACTACCAGCCTGGCCCCAGCTGACCTGGGCAGATTTATATCTCTGTACCCTTCCTAGATCCTGGGCCCCACTCATACCTTCACCATGGAAGGTACCCTGGCCATACAACAAGCAAATTGCTTGTTCTTCCTGAATACTCTCTTCCTCCTTTCCTCTCAATTCTTGCCTTTCTTTCATATGGTTCCAAAGTCACCTTCTCTGTGTAGCCTTCCTGTTCCCACCAAGCAGAGCTGAACTTTCCCTCTCTACTCCCTCAGGGTTATCCTGACACCTTCTCACTTTAAGTACAGCATCTAAGGGCAGAATTATGCAATGATGTGCTTATGTCTGTGTCTTCCCTCCTAAGCTGATAGCTCCTCCAAGTAGGGAGTGTCGTATTTGTAATCTGAAATGTAGCACATAGTTGACCCTCAATAAATATTTGATGAATGGATGAATGACCTGTGGTTTCTTCTGGTTTCGCTTGTGCTGAACTATGCATTTGAAAATTAAGTGACTATGGCAATATATTGTAACTAACCAATACTATAAAAAACTTAACTTTGCTCTTATGAACAATAGATTTTAAACATTTGAGCTAATGGATGCAGATAATAAGGAATTTCAGAACCAAATTACCTAGGTAATATTTTTGCACATACTATAAATCTAGAGATGGTTGAGAAGGCCAAATATATGACTAAAGCATGTAAAACAGAATAATTAAGTAATCTGTATCCTTTACTGCAGAAAAGAAACTTGAAACTTAATAAGGGTTTTTAGTAAAAGACTGTACTCCAAGGATGACTAACCATCTTCCTTCTGCATACACATAAGAAATGAGACTGAAGTATTAAAAGATTAAAGCTAAAAACAAAAAAAGAGCTTGATGATGTCCTAACTGGAACGTGTGAGACCATTTCGTTACTACAACAAATAACTCACGTGTTGAGGGCTTACTCTGAACCAAGCATCGTTCCAAATGCTTTACCATTTATTTCATGGTGTCTCCGTAACAAACCCAAGTGGGTTCATTTTAGTCATATTACTTCCATTTTACAGGTGAGGAAATGGGGGCACAGAGTGGTTAAGTAACTTAGCTGAGTGGCACAGCAGGAAAACAGCAGAACTGAAATTCCAGCCTGAGCCGCCCAGCTCCTGAGCCTTTGCCCTTCCTCGTCCGCTCACCAGGGAGGCTAAAACCGGTGCCGGACCTCTATTTGAGGATGGAGGCCTGATGCTAAGCTCGTACCAGCTCAGGAAGTTCACGTGACTGCTTAAATTTAACACAAAAATCCTTGAAAACATTAATTTCCCCTCATTGCCAGGGCAACCACCCATCTCATGGACTTCACCACACCAAAGAGCACGTGTACATGTGTGTAGAGGAGCGCCCTTTTGTCTGTTCCGGTGAGTCGGCCTGCCCCCTCTCATCTTTCTAATGAATGAGACAGTATGTTGTTTTGTTTTGTTTTGTTTTCAGCAGGTCTGCATACATGCTTGAGCATCCACATGTGTTCACGTATTAATAAGATGACATAAATTGAGTCAAATTTAGATGTTATGTTTACTGCCTTCAGAGAGATGGAATTTACTCTTGGGGCTAAAAAGCCAGCATCTTCTTCCCCTGTTGTTTTTTCCAAGGCAACCTTGTTCATCCTGCCCCAGGGACATAAGCAGTGGGGTCGCTGTCAGCAGGAAACAGGGGCAGCTTGCTGAGCAACTCAAATGCCTGTGCAAAAGGAAGTCAGCGCTCATCTGATCCGCAGTGCAGATGATCAACTCTGAGCTGCGCTCGGGCTGCAGGAGGCCTGGAGGCTGGTCCGGGAGAACCAGGGCGGCCCAGCAGGAGCTCTGTGAAAAGGCTGTGAATGAGTCACTAGACTTTTCAGGTTGACTGAGATGACTTCTGTTGATTTTCTTCGAATTTAGATGTGTTATCAGTGTTCACACATTGGGCATGACGGGAAAATGAGTGAACATTTTCTTGATAGTGCCGGCCTTCTGCAGGGTTGTGATAAGATTTGGGGTAAGATGTGACTCTCCACGAAGGCGCTGCTCAGTGCATTCCAGTGTGTGTTAGGGGCCTCTCTGGGGTCTCAGTGTCTTCGTGTCATGAGCTGGGAGTAAACCCAGTGTGATAGGGCTCATGTGTCTTCTGACATTATACACAAGCTGGCTTGGGTTGGTATTTACTATTTTAGGGCATTAAGAGGCACTGCTAACTGGTCACACTAATTGGTTCATGGTCTGGGAAAAGCACTTGTTTTCTAACACTGGGTCCCCCACAATAACCAGACAAATTCTTGGTGTCTTAGTTAAGTATTTGGGCTCTAGAAGCTCAATTAACCCCTCTGGCCTCAGGTTTCCTCATCTTTGAAATAAGTAAAACAATGAAAGCTACCCCCTTGGGTAGGGTTAAATAGATTCATACACGCCAGGTGCTCGGAGCAGTGCCTGGTCTGTCTATTAGCACTAAGTCTGGACTTATATTAACGCACACATTTTTGTTGATACAACTTCATGTTTGGCAGAGGACCGACTCCACTGCTGGCACAAAACAGGTGCCTGGTAAACATGTGTTAACTGTTGATGGAACTAGAAGAATGTGTTTAGTGGAATATACATACAGTAACCTGTTCCGATTTCTCAGTAACCAGACTGGCAAGACTGGATGTTAGATTTACTCTCCTATAGAGAAGTGTTTGCAAATAAATGGAGTGCTCTACCATCAAACATCTCTGCAGAAAAGAAGGGAAGAGAGAAGCCGGTTTTGTGTGAAGACCATGAAGGAAATGGTATGAGAAACCAGGTTGGGGAGTATCACACGAAGAACGGGCAGCACATTCGTGCCTCTCCATCAAACACAGTGTCTCATGTAATCAAAAACTTTCATACTACAAAATACATGTTATTTTTGAGTCTACAAAAATAAATATGAAAAACAGGAGTCAAATCTCTGACCCCTATTTACCTTTTATTGATTGTCTTATGACAGCTTCAACATGAAATGAATCATTTAATTTAAAAAACAGAAAGAAAATGAACAGTATCATGTTTTAGGAACTTGAATAGCATGACAAGAGTATCTTAATATTAGGTCAAATCATGAAATTGCCACTTCTTTTGGTAAAAAACTGTCAGACATTGTCGATTTCATATGGTTCTGTCTGCTATATGTAAGCTATTTTGACACTAAATCAAAACACATATTAACTTGCCTTTTATTGCCTTTAATTATGGCTATAGAGCAAAATTAGCCAATTGTATTTGCCTTCACCTCTCTTGCCTCTCAGAGTTTGTGCACAGTAGGCGATAAACAAATGTTTTGTTAATTGAGTAGTGTTTTCTGTTATCTTCTCTTAAAAATAGGCCTATATTCTGCTGCACTACCTAATGCTGAGACTGCCCTTAAAATATAATTAACAAAGTGTTTAGCTTTGTTTCGTGTTTCATGATTCAGATAAATCCTTTCCATTCCTTGTCTAGGCAGCACTGGAAAGCTGATTAATACAGTATTAATGTATTGCAGAGACAAACTAGACTCTGCTTGCACACACGGCCATGACAAGAATAAATTTAGGTCAGAAATATTTGTGCAATTAAAGAAAAATGTTATAATAATGAAAAATTATTGTTTATATGATGCACCTCTGTGCACGAAAACACATTCTAGACTTACAGATGAGGTGAATGACAGAATTAGGCAAGTGTTCCCCCAAAAGTTTCGATCACTTAGGGCCCAACTGGGGCAGCCTGGAATGAACCAGAATGGTAAGCTTTGGGATCCCAGGATGAGGAGCTTCATGATTATTCATTTAAGGCTTAATAACCGTTGGGATTGGTCCCCGACCTAGCCGTACACACTGAAATAGCTGAGCAGGCAGCATGAAATGGTCTTCGGTTCATAAAATAAAGAGCTCCTTCCACGGTGGAAGAGATGGGCAGTGTTCAAGGAGTAGTGCAAATAACCGGGGAGCAGTCACGCCTCCACGGGCCCCAGTTTTCCCACATTTGTTAACTATCTCCTAGAGAACATTCATTCTCTGTAACAGCTGCTGTTGAAAGGATAAATATTGTATCTTAAAATTCTTTGCATGTCTTGAGGGGAAAAGCTCAAGCTCTAAAAGGAATTATTTTGGTTTTGGTTGACCCTGTGACAGCAGCCGCGTCGTAAAAGCAGACTGCTGAGAAAACAGAGTTGCTTTCAGTTTTCAAACAGAACAGCCACGACCCTCTCTCAGTTTGGATTCTTACACAAATCAATACATGAGCAAGAGAGGGCTCATGAAAGCGTTAACTTTTCCTCCAGTGCCATGGATTTTTTAGGAGGTTCTTTGTTAAAGCATGGAGCATGCTCAATTTTGCTCGATTTGTGCTGTCTAATGAGATCCCAGCCCCAGGTGATGTGCTCCTACAATAGTGTCTTCACGCTAATTACATTTTAGAATGGGTAGAGCAAGAATAGTTCCAAACATACTTGAGGTAATAACTAGTCATATATCCAGAAGGTCAACAGTTCAATCAGAGAGAGAAAAAAATTAGCATATCTTAAGAAAGAGTTCAGTGGTTTTATACAAGAGCTCTCATTTCAGTCTACAAGAATACTTAAAACACTGATAGAGCCAGGTAATTCTATATTTCCCTTTTCAACTCACTGAAAGCTCCCAATTTCAGGGTGTAATGTCTGAGGACAAGAAGCCTCTGTCAGGGGGAGGGGAGGAAGGGTGTCGTCAGGGAAGCTGGCCAAGTTGGAGGTTAGGAGTCTGTGCCAGGACTCAGGGCCCCAAGTGAGAGAGAGGAAGGCCTGGGCTGCTGTGGGAAGAACTGGGCGATGCTAGAGAGTTTGGCATCAGAGGAGGGCTGTGGGCCAATCTTCCATTATAGTAACAACACAGATGACAACAAAACCCTGAAACAATTGGGTACCAAATCACTATAAACAAAGATACAATCTGCATGCATCAGCACTGTTTTCATAACAGTGACTAATTTTTCCCCAAATTCCCATTTTTCTATGATTTCTAACAAACATAAAAGAGCAGCAATGGGAAACTATACCCACTGCGTCCTGTTTTAAATGACTGAAGTTGTCTTTTGTTCAGAAGTGCAGAGCATTTTGGTTTACTCTAAAAATATTTACTGAGCACTTATTATGTACTTGGCAATAGTTATATGGTTGGTTTGTTCAGAGATGATTCCTAAAAAATACTTTCTGATCTGCTAAAGTATTAAAATACTAAATCAGCTTATAGACTTTTAAAAATAAGTGAAAAAGTGGCACTTCTCATCCTCCAAAAGCCTCATGCCCTGCACAAAGAATTCCCTTCACTAAAGGTGCATGTAACCTGTCACTGTGTGAAACACAGCCTAAGAACTACCAGTGTCCAGGGGACCATATTCAGTGAATAAATATGCGTAAACTGGGGAGCAAAGAATGACTTTTGTAATTTAAACTACAGAGGGACTTTTAGGCTTGAAAATAAAATTAGAAAGTTACTCAACTCACTAACTTTTAAATAGGATGCAGTCTTTTTAAGATCATTCTTAAATAGAAAACATTTAAATGTACAGAAAAGCACAGAGAAGAAATAGAAGCTTCCATGTACCCACAGGGTTTTTATGTCTATTTAATTGACCCCATTCCATTTCAGAGGGGTCCCTCTTCCAGATGTTGCTCACCCAAAGACATTTCCATATCTGAGATCAGCCTCTGGGACGAAAACCTTTTTGTGAACATTTTTGGTCCATGGAGTGTTCTCCTTTATCCTCTGGCCACTCTACTCTGAGCTGTTGTTATTCACGGAGGGTGGGGAGGGCCAGAAGATGCCCTTCAGCAGGTCACAGTCAATTCAGGGAGATCAATACCCACATAAATAATTCTGCCATAGGCTGCCATGAGTGCTGGGGAGAAAAAGATTAATTTCGTCTGGGGAAGAGCTTGGGAAAAGGGGTAAGTTTGGGGTTTAAAGCCCTCGAAGGTTGGCTGGGATTTGGGAAGGTGACTGTGTGGGGAATGGGGGAGCCCGAGCCAGAATGAAGGCCTTACTCCAGGACGGTGAGCAGACGTGGTCCGTGGCCCAGAGTGCACGCTCTCAGGGGGATGCGTGCACTTGGCTGTAAGAAATGTTGAAGGTCTCTAGCTTGCAGACAGAGGGGTCAATGCCCCAGATTTCCTGATTTTCTTTGTCAACTGTGCTATCAAGTCTTACTAAACTTTAATAAATATATCACCCAGCTGCTTTTCAATCCTAAAATCATAAAATGTAGAAATAATTTACATTTGGAGAGCATGTTACATTTTACTAATGGCTTTTTTAACATACATTATTACATTTGATTCATGTAACAGCCCCGTGACACCCCGGGCTCATCTCCACAAGCTATTTCCTTGGAAAGTAACTACTAGT